TGGTTACTATGCTTGACATCTCATTTGTCAAGTCAATTCACTCCTCAAGACATTTCAACTGCTCAAGATGTTATTGTATCACAGGTCATTTTATCTTCCATGCTATTATGTCTCAAACTTTTAGTTTCTCTAAGCACAGCACTGAATCACCCAGTTAACATAACTAACTTTCTTAAGTGCAAGGTTTGAAATACTATATTGATACACATAAGAAGGCTACAACCAAAATTTCAATCTTGATAATTGGTGGACAGTTAACAGTTCTTGTTAAAATACTTGTACTTTTACTCGTATCCACAAAACTTCAAAATAAATTTTAAAAAAGTAAAATAATAAAGTAAAATATTAATGAGGTTAGAAGTTTGCCTATTAGTGAGATGACTGGTTAATATTATTTTCATTGAATCATGTTCTAATTTTCAAGCCATTTATACAGTATAAAATAACTACAATTTCAGAAGCTGAATCAATCAAATTATTACATTTAAATATCTCTATCTGGTTTCTGTTTCTTTCTCTCTAATATATTTAAGTAAAAGATACAAACTTCCATGTGAATGTACAAAATGTGATTAAAGTCAACACATGAGACACAGTACTTAAAAACAAAATTAAAGTGACACCATAATTAACAAAAAATATATTTTAGAATATTGTTAACTGGAAATACTCAGATATGAGCAGTTTTATGGAAATAAAAATATGATAATGGCCAAAGTCAATCTGAGCTGTCTAAAAAAGGAAATTCTGAAGGAATTGGACAAAATTTGCCTCCAGTTCAATGTATATATAAGATTCCTACATTAAATTAAATTTGGCATACTCAGCAAGTAGAATTTATTAGACATAACAGTTTTATATATTATTCCCACATATATACATATGGACAAACAACAAACTTTACTAAATTAGATTTAATTAGAGTTGAGATAGATAGAGAGAGACAGTGTGGACATAGGAATCAATACTGCATAGTGACTGTTTCCATTTCTTGCTTCAATGAAATCTTTAGACCATGTTTGAAGATTGCAGAGAGGCATTAAAATGACAATCATCAGGCAATGTCAATTCTTGTATCCACACTATCTGTAAATAATTTATCTCTGATATTAAGCATTCTTCACCTATAATTATAGCAAATTTAAAACAATATGCATGTGTGTATTATTTATACATATATATATATATATATATACATATATATATATATATTATAGATTAATAATTAGGGGATTTGTATAATTTCATAATTCATCATGTCTAGACCTGGAATCTTCAATGCACACACAACACAAGCAGAAAAGTGCTGGATGGCCATTTCATCCTTATTTGGGACTCATTAGCAGTGCGCATCCACTACCGACTCTGAGAGTTGAACCCAGAGCGCTCTGATATGATGCAAGATTCATGCCATTAGGCCAACCGGCTATGGTGGTGAGGAGGAAGCTCAATTACTAGACATAATATCACACAGCTCATCCTTCATGGTGGTGACACTTCTCCAAGCATTCATAACCCAATTATTAATCTATAATATGACCTATGCTGGATCCAGCTTCCAATGCTCTGGATGGAGCAGCTCGGTGAAGGATGTCATTGCTCTCGGTGGCCAGTCCTGTTGTGTTATGAATGTTTAGAGAAGTGTCACAACCAGGAAGTATGAATTGTTCTATATTATGTCTAGTAACTTAATTTCTTTCTCACCATTGTGGCCCATTGGCCTAATGGTATCATATCGGAGTGGTCTGAATTTGACTCTCAGAGTCGGTAGAGGATGTGCACTGCTGATGAGTCCCAAATAAAATGAAATGCCTATCTAGTGCTTTTCTGCTTGTGTTTGCATTGAGGATTCCAGTTCTGAACATGATTTATTATTATTATTATTATATATATATATATATATATATATATATATATATATATATATTTGTGTATTTAGGCAGCAATCGTTCTTTCATGCATATTTTATTGAATATGACAGATAAAGTGCTTTGATTTAGTTTTTTATATAATTTCTCATGTGATCTAATAATTTTTTCTTTCCAGATGATAAATTATATAAAAACTGTCCAATTGTTCTTTTATCCAAGTGCTTTCAGCTATACATTTAGCCATTTTCAAGGTTGAAATATATTAACTGTTAACAAGAAATAGTTTGTTATATGTATGTATATAAACTAAATCAAAGCACCTTGTCTGTCATATTCAATAAAACATCTATATATATATATATATATATATATATATATATAATGCGCAAAATGTATACATGAATATAGTGAAGATATTAATATAGATATTTCTCTTTCCTCTTTTCTCTATGTGTGTGTGTATATATATATATATATATATATATATATATATATATATATATATATATATATATATATGAAGTGAAATATATGTATATATGCATGAAGATACTGCATTTATTAAGAAATTTAAATAAGTTGCTGAGAGAATCTAATTTAATCTCATACATAAATCTTTGAAAAGATGAAAAATTTTATAAAAGAAAGTAAATATGCTTCAACTGAAATCTGACTCATTTTGATAAAACATTGGAAAGCAAATGAATGTCGTTTGCCGCAGCACATTACCTAAAACTACTTTTATTGATAGATCTATTGATAGATCTATTAAATTATCTATTTACATGAATCATCTAGAGTATATATGCAGATGTAGCATCAATTTAATATACATATATATGTATCTTTATCCCAATGATCCATTATATGATCATATAACGAGAGATATTTGTATGTGTGTGTGTATGTGTGTATAATCTTTATACATGCCTATCAAAATTCATTTGTACAAACATGCTGCATGTTTATATACATAACATTCTTATGTGATAATATTTTGGAGAATGAATAAATTCTTATATTATCATTTGTGTTAACATTTCTCTTTTATAAGTTTCTTGGCTAATAATGTATTTTAATCTTAAGAACAATAACAGATTAATCAGAGGATTTTAGTTTTGTTAAATATTCATAAAAATATGAAAATAATAAAATCTATATATTTGTATTTCCCAGTATTTCTTCCCTAGTATTCATTATAATCAACTTTCTATATTTCCTACATGAGGTATTGTAACTATTTACACTATTTACATCATTAGAATTGTTATCCTCATTTTATTGCCATATTCAAAACATATATCACTTGAAGAAGGCAGGAGTGTACAACAGCCAAAATATTGTGAATATGACAATAAAGATGATGACAACAATCCTATTGATGTATATATTGTAAATACATTATTATCAAATATTAAAATGAAGACATTATTGCAACTTAGTCTTGACTGAAGATAAAATGACATTGAGTACTTCACTTTTACAACTATATTACCATCTTAAAGATTACTGTTAAAGATATGTCTGAATATATGAAAGAAGAGTTATAAAATAAGTTGTGGTGAATAACATGCAATGAAACTTATATTTTAATTATTTTTTCAGAAATATGTGATATGTCAAATAAAGATTGATCTGATGACAAGTGTGGTTGGTGCTTGGGAGAATAGTGATTTACATTTTAAAATCATTTATTTGGTTTGTTTAATGACATATCAAATCCTTATGGCTCATTTAATACAGAAATTTAATTTTTTGACAAGTACTGGTAATTTTTTTGCAAAAATGGTAATGTATTCATGGTAAATTTTTTTACTACAAAAATGTATTTTTATACATTCATAATGTTTTGACCCCAGTTTGGGGCTTCATTATTTGCCCATAACTGGGACCCTAACAGGTGCTACCACTTAGGGTCAGGGTGAACCTGGGAACAATAGCAATTAAGAGGTGGTGCCACACTCTTCAAAACCTCCTAATCAGAGGCCTTGCTACCGGATATAGTTTATTGTCATACCCAGGATGAGAAATCATTTGTTTTCATTATAAATCATCCATCTCTAATAAATACAATTGTAAAAAGATGACTTGAATTTGAAATGAAATAAGAAACAAAGACAAATGCAATTCCTCCAGAGAAACTTATTAGGTACCAGAAAACGTTGACTCTACCTCAAATGTGAATGAAAAAGAAAACTTACTGAATCATAATGTTACTTACATTTTATCTATGTTGGTTTGTTTTGTCATTTTGTAACTCAGGAAGAAAAGGGGAAGTCTACATTCTTGTGAAAATTTTAGGGTTTAAAGGGGAAAAAATAGAATTATTATCTTAAAGGATACAGTATGGAAATCTTACAGTCTATTTTCTACCCTTTCATGCATTTTTTCATAAGTAAATTTATTTCTAAGTTACTTTCAAAGAGTGATTTACAATGTGTATGTCTTTTAAGGTCAAATATGCTATCTGATTTTCTGACATGGAAAGAAAAAGATTGTCATAATGGAAAGAATATTGTTTTATTAAAAAAAAAACTACCAGGAAAAAAATAGACTTGCCATGTGAATTTCCTGTCTTATCTCAAATCCCATGATATTTAATAAATAAATAATATCTTAAACAAAGATATATAATAAATAAAGCTTTCTTGTTCCTTTTGTAAATATATATTTCTTCTGATATTCTCACTGGTTATAATATGCTTACAGATACTATTACTACTACATCAAATATTATGTCTTTTTGCTTTCTATTAATAAAATCATGGCCAAATGATGTTTTTTGTTTGATTTTTTTATACAAGAAATATTTTTCAACATAATTTCCTCCTTTGTTAATGAACTTAACCAAACACTTTTGCTTTAATTATTAATCCAACTTTTTACTGAAGAAGGCATGTTCTCCAATGCAAAATATTTCATATTAAGATTTATCAAAATGATCTCATTCTCTTGTACTTTGTCCATAATACTATATGACTGTAACTGAGATAAAAAAAAAGAAAAAAAGTTAACTGTGAAATCATGTAATATTAGCTGGTTGGTGTTGCTTCAAAAATTCAAAATATTAATTCAATATGACAGTCAATATAACAATTGTATAAAGTTGTAGAATTACAACTATTTCAAGTGGAAACATCAGTTCCCATTTAATCAACAAAGTTAAGCAACATTGAGTCTGGTCACTACCTAGATGGGTGACCACTTGGGAATACTAGGTGCTGTCAGCTTGAACGTGCAGGTGATTTGATGGATGACAGTTTGGAATAAGAAATCAGTGAGCTGAGTTCAAATTCCAATTGAGTTTGTTATATTAACTTATGCGCAGATACTCTTGGGAAAGGTATGAATCCATTTCTTCTCCCCCCAGCTATAGGTTAAATAGCAGGACAGAATGTTTCCTATAGTCTTGATTGGTAGCCAGTCTGCCACAAAAAGTAACATCATTGTGCTGCGGGCATTCTTCTGCCAAGTCAATCATGAATAGAAACGAGAGATGAATGCCCAAGCATGCATCATTCATGGCACCAAAGGAAGGATACAAATATAAAGTTATTTTATGATGATAAGCACAAAAAATCAACTACACCTCAAAATAAAGCCAGGATTTTTATCATAATAAAAATAGAAAGAAAACAAAGAAAATTACAAGGTTTACTCAGAACAGAATAAATATTTACACTGATCAATAATACAACAATTATAAAACAATATTTGTTAATGTGATCATAAACTCAATGTAAAAATGGGTATGAAATATTTTAACTCATAGAATACTTGCAGTTTCATCCAAAGTAATTGAAAGAATGCATCACAGGCTTTAAACTGAAAAATGATATTCAATTATTTAAATATCTTTCTTTATATAAAGCAAGGATTTTGACTAAATTGTTTTCCCCATGGACTTTTGTACTTATATTAAAAAGTAATGAAGATTTTAATAAGATATTTTCTGCTATATTCAGCTGGGTTGCTGGGAGTGATGATAGGTTACTTGATATGCATGTGGACGAAAAGTTTTATTATAAAAAAAATGATTAAAAATAAAAAAAAACAAAAAAACAAATAGGGAAATGATTAGAAATAAATAAATATATTGTAAAAACGTTTAAAAGAAAGAAAACAAGAAAGAAAAAATAGAAATGCTTTTAAATAAATAAGCTTTATTATAAAAATGATTAAAAAAGAAACAAAGAAAGAAATGATTTGAAATACATAAATAAAAAAAGGCATATTATAACAATTTTTAAAAAAAAGAAAAATGTTTTGAAATGAATAAGTTTTATTATAAAAATGATTGAAAGAAAGAAAGAAAGAAATGATTTAATATGAATAAGTTTTATTATAAAAAAGATAGAAAGAAAGAGAAATACTTTGAAGGAAATTAATTTCCTCATTTCAGCACACTGAGTAAAAAGTATAAATTCAAAAGATAAATATTGAATGTGAAAGATGAAAAGCAGGAAAATCAAATGAAAAAACAAAATGAAATATTTTTCATTTCTATTTTATTTTTTTAAAACTGAAGCAAAGGGACAGGGAGAGTTTTCATAGAAACCAAATGATCAATTTTTTTTCATTTCAGATAAATTTCATAGAAATGTTGACTGACATCAACATATTAATATAAAACTTAAAGCTACCTCTTTTGTAGAAACTTTTGCTTATTTGTGTATATATGTGAATATACACATGTCTGTATATATGTATGTATATATAGATATTTGCCAGTATAAGCAATATCTTTCAAAATAATTACTTTCATAAATGCCTATATATATGTTATGTATGTGATATACATATATATATATATATATATATATATATATATGTATATATATAGATAGATGTGTGTGTATGTATGATTAAACAATATAATATTCATATACAATATATTGACCTATACATTTATTTTTAAAAAGTATATTACTATTCTTGATCAATATCTTTGTTTAATAGAATATATAAGAAGTAATTTAAGCTGAATCATCATCTATTGATATAATACAAAACAGAGCATATATGCTACATTATTTTTATTATAATAAAAATAATTGGTTGAATTAATTTTGGCTTATACATTAGTTCTGTATCTTTTACCATGTAAAAATAAACTAGTTTAATGATAGAGACATTTTTATGTGCTTACACACACACACACACACACACACACATATATATATATATATATATTTATATATAGGGAGAGAGAGAGAGAGCAAGAGAGAGTGAAAGGAGGGAGAAAGAGAATGATAGAAAGATACACAAAAACATACACACACACCAATGTGTTTCTGTATATGCCTTTGTATACAATGATCTGTTAGTCTGTGCATGATTGATGATTGTGTTTGTAAATTTTTTCAATATATCCTAACTGATTATGTATGCAAAGCTTTAAATACACACATTATTATATAATGTACTTGTATGAATATTTTAAGTTCATAGTTGGAAGAAAATAATAAATGAGCCACAAATTTAATTTGCTTTTGGTTAAAGTTCACCAAGGATTTGCATTTGAAAAGACAAATAAATTTATGAACGCTTTTTGCTCTTTAGAAAACACTAGACTGGAATATAAGGTTCTTGTTAAAAAACAAGCATTGTTCAGCATTTCTTTTAGTGATCAAGATGATTTGAAATCAAGTAATTAGAATTTAAATTGATGCTATGGCCTTGAACTTTTCCCAACTATTTCAGACTGTTTTGCAGATTATTGATCAGTCCTTCATTTCTGTAGTCTTTTAATCTTGTGTTGAAAGATATTGAGTTAGTCTGTAGTTCTGCTTGTGAGTGAGTAATTTGGTATTTTGTTTCATAATGCATTGGCTTAGAGGATTTGTAAATGTTCTCTTTTGATTTTACACTTAATTGTAATAGCCAACAACTGTATACATATAACAGAGCTGTGATTATAAATCTGATTAAATGGACTCAACTTATTTTCTCTTCTCATACATTATTTTATAAAGAACTCCATAACATTCATTAAAGAAATGCGATCTTATGTTGTTTATAAACAGATAAATCAAACTTTAAAGACAACTGAAAATTATGATGATGGCAAAAATAGCAAAAAGTACAATAAAATGATTTTATCATAACTAAATGTATCAGAATTACAAACATGATAAAACAACTATCAGAAGTATTTGGTACACATAACCAGTTGTAGATTTTATTAATGGTGACATTAACCATTTCCATACAGAAAATATTCAGTATTCTTTGATTGATTAATTAGTATTACTGATAGATTAAATTTCAGTAAAACACACTTGTCAAATCCACTCATTTTTCTATTATTGATTGGAGTTTCCTTCCTAACTTTTTGTCTAAAGTAGTGTGGTAAATCAACATCATGATTACATCATCTATTTTTTCCTTCCAGTTACATGTGCTACCTATTTGTGTTGTTACTACTATTGAAAGTGTTCAAGTAATGTTTCTTTTTGTTATTTTGGTAAAGCTCTATGTGATTCTATTTGTGATCAGTCTATAAGACCTGATGAAAGACTGTCTTCTTTAAGATCAAAAAGATTCATTTACTTGAAGCCATTTTTAATCATTGATCTGAGAAAACAATTGTTTATAGATGATGGTTTAGACATTTTTCAACAAGTTGGATATCAGTAAAATAATTTAAAAACAATCTTAAGTCTAACCGTCAAAGGCCCACAATATTAGTATCATCTACAATTTCTCTTGGTTTTTGGAAAATTATGTACCCAGTGATGAACAAATGTTTAATTTGTATATATGGTACATCCAAATGTTCAGATATCTAATTTGTTTGATAAGGCATGAGTTACAAATGAAAAGTTTTGAACAGGATGGTACTTACTACAATATCCTGTAACTTGCTATTTATCCTTTTAGTGTTATTGCTAATCAGAAACAGCTAGGCAGTAGAGTTATATACCAAATTCTTGTTACTATTCATATATAACATTCAGTGGAAAAGGCTTCAATTTTTTTTAAAGACCTTATCATAAAATCAAGAAACTCCAAGCTAATTAAGATCTTTTTCAATTTGTACATTGGGATTTTGTATGCATTTAACAAGTTAGAGACAACCTTTTTCTTGTATGTCATTTTGTGTTACATGTTGCTATTTATACACTTGTAGGTCTATACACTTGTATTCTTGTATGTCATCATCATAACATTCAAGAATTGAATTGAAAAATTAAAACATGTAAAGTTTTTTCTTAATTTTTTTGATTGACAAAATACTGGATTCCAAATGTTTCGGCTCTACCTGCACAGAATCCACATATGCATTATATATTGTATATACTCAAGTATAGTGTGAAATTTTATGATCCGTTTTTATGCAAAATATAGAAGGGTCATACTATACACAGGTAATTTTCTTGAAGAGGTTAAAAATCATGCTTTTTTGGTGACTAATTGCACTATACACAAGTAAATCTTTCCTGGATGGGTTAAAATTCATGCATTTTTGGTGACCGTGACCTACCTGGTAGGCTGCTTGCAGTACTTTTGGCTAACCTTAACAGTACAGGTAAGCTCCTTTAGCCTGCCTTCCATGGCTTAGATTATTTTTTTCTGCTGCTACATGAACACAAAATGTCTTTCACTATGCGTGCCACTTAAAATCTACCAATACCTCATACAAACAAAAAATTAACAATGTTTTTTTTCTGTCTGCAATATGGTTCATCTTCATTTGCACATGTTTACATCCCTAAGTTATTGCTTTTCCATCAGAACCCCTTTTGTCTGATACATATCTATACCAATATGTTTCAGTTGCATTCTTAATTTTGTCTTCCTCTACTTATTTATATTTATTTTTATCTATTATATTTTTTACATTTAATTACTTTATCTTATAATTCTCTGTTACATATTCTTAAATTATTTTGACAAGATGCATTGCAATATATAGTAAATGATAATTGCACTGGATGAAATACCAAATTAATTTTAATTCTAATAGCTTTATTTATGGTATACAGCAATATTATCAATAGGAATCAACAAAATTGAGGAGCACTACAAAAAAAGCATATCCCACTATTCATATATAAATTATAGTGATGGGATGATACCAATATTTTTACCAATTCCATTACAATTCCTGATACTGTTCTAAATTTTTTATTACAATACAATACCCGATTCCAATTCCAATAGCTATAATGATTAAAATTCATTATTTTCAGGTCCTACTGTTAGCTTGGGAAACTTAATAAACA